CCGTCACTCTCAGCTAGCGACGTCTGAAAGGTGAGGAACCCGGTGAACAATATGGGACACGTGCTAAACTTTGTCAAGGCCATCTACAATAATGAATTTCCTATCCTAAAACAATAATGTTGTTTATGAAAATTGGTTCTATAGGGTTCACTAGAGGCCCACACATTCGAGTCCATTGTGAGGGCGTATGTGGTTCTCCGCGCTTCGTGTCCTAAGATCGGACCTCACTAGCGACCCCGGCGTGGGGAAGACGCAAAAACTCGGCGACATGACATGCAAACGTCACAGATCGGTGTTCTTGGGGTAACCGAAGTAGAATGATTTGATGTGTGTACTGTCTGTAGCGGATATGTCTAAAACAACCCAGCTGTTGACACAGACCTGGGGCTGGGTTAATGGACCAGCTCGCTGTATTACTACATGGCTGTACTACACACATGTAAATCCAGATGTGTCTAATGATCGTACCACAAAAAATGGCACATGGTAACAAGCAAACTCGAAATATCCCACTAGACTTCTTAACGACGCTGATTATTTGGTCAACATTTGCCTAGGATAAATGATTGCGTGAAATCGATCATCTCAGCAATCAAGCGCAGTACATGTATTCTCAAAATGATGAGATAGGTAAATACAGACGGGTGAATACAAAACCGGTTCCCGCACATCTTTTTACAGCAGCCCACTCCCCTGAACCTCTTATGGAACCTAACTTAAGTTGGCGGGAGGCCATGCATATGAAAGTCCCAACCTATTTTGCTTTTTCGTTTTTAATGGACAGTTTTCAAAGTGTCTGTTAAAATTTGGGATTTTGGGAGGTGATTTTTTCCATGCATCACCACACGTAAACAGTTATGGTCTGAAATCAGTGTGAGGGGGGGGGGGGGCTGGGTCCACCAGAAGCATTCAATGCGCCGACACCCCTGCTTGCAGAAAAAAGCAGCACTGGTATTGGAACGAGTGATACGATACGAGTGATACGAGATATCAAGTCGCTAATGGGCTTGTATACACAGTTATATAGATACGTGTGCAACGTAATCCGTCCTGTTGCCAATGAAAACACAAGCACAACGACAGTAAAAGTGCTAACACTCAGTATCCAGAGTAACCGAAAGGGAGAGAGACAGGCCAAAGGATAGCAGGAGGTAGCACTGGAGAAGGAGACTGACACGAAGGGCTTAGGTTGGGCTAAGTTAGGTTAATTTAGATAAAAATGGCTAAGTTAGTTAGGTTAGATTAGGATCGACTAGACTAGACCGTCATAGGCAAGGTTAGGAAGCTGCTCATGTTACGCTGCGCTCCGTGCCGATCCGGTCCGTCTCATCGGTATCCGCATCGCCCACGGCTGGCTGTGATCGATGTCACGTGATCCTGGCAGGCCAATCACCGCCACTGAGCCGGGCTACGGGTCTGGAAGTCAAAGGAGTGTGTGAGTAGCGTGCCACGCGAGTTCACGTGGCCCTGACATGCCGGTCCTGGCTGCTGAGTCGGGCTTCTGGTCAGTAGGTCAGAGGTGCGCGGCCGCAAAGAGCAAAAGGTCCAAGGCGAGATTGGTTTTGTACATCGATGTGCCAACAATCGCGCGAGGTCCATAAGTGCACTTCTTGGACATGGAGTGTCATCTGATATGTTGCTGTTTCACGTTTTAGACTTTGGTGACTTAAAAAGATGCAGTCCGTCAACAGCTAAAAATAACGTGGACCTTTAGACATTATAATTGCTGCATATTCGTAATCTTCGTCCGAGGCTGAACGCACAAACGTCATCAAAGGGCCTGGTTTAACCAACGTGAATTAGATAATGCACGTTGAGATGAAGCCCTTGACTCGTCATGATCAGCGTTGGTTCCCTTTGTCAAATTTATTTATATTCTGACGCTCTTTACGGAGTATTGAAACCTTTCTGCTTATTCGCCTGTGTTTTGTGCAGCCTTTAGCGTAGTACTGTGTGTCGGGTAGTAGGATGAGGTAGCTTGAAAACTCAGCATAATGACCACAATAACAGCATATAACTCATAAAAACTCACAATAAAAAGTTCAATAAAAGCTCATATTAACTTATGATACCATATGAAGGACCTGGTAATCACTACACACTTAAGTTAATAGTTCCCATTGCTCACACACATAAATGCCTTTCTGGCCGTGAATGCCTTTCGCTGTATCCTCTCTGTCACTGTATCATCACCACATCATCTCCTCTCTTTCCCGTAAAGCCACGCCTGCTCGTGACAATGGATTGCGATTAATGAGCCCTGTGACCTAGATTTGCGTGTTATTGCCGGCTGTCCTGTGTGCTCGTTGTTTTTGTCGTGTTTTGTGAAGCGACATCCAGGGTCAATCGATCAGGCCCGCCAGGGCCCCATAAAGCGGCAGACAATAGAGCGGCCAGGCTTTCGCTGTTGGCCGCGCAATATCCTCTCCGCCTCATATTCTCATTCCTTCTAAAGGCAAACGTTGATATATTGGGTTCTTGCCTTTTATCGTCCCGTCTGTGTTCGCTTCGGAAACTTTATATCAGTCTTGAAGTCCTGCACGATGACGCTGAGCATCATGGTGTCAATCCAATCAAATCAGCACGTCAAATAATCTCCTTTTATCACTTACCGAACAAAGTTCGGACACGCTCTTGGTTGCTTCATTCAGGCATAAAATTCTTACATATTTCTCTCCTAAAGTTGTTAATTGTGTCTGTGGTGGTAAAAGGAGAGAGAGAGAGAGAGAGAGCGAGAGAGAGAGTAGAGAGAGAGGAGCGAGAGAGAGAGAGAGCGAGAGAGAGAGAGAGAGAGAGAGAGAGAGAGAGAAGAGAGAGAGAGAGAGATAGAGGAGAGAGAGAGAAGAGAGAGAGAGAGAGAGAGTAGAGAGAGAGAGAGAGAGAGAGGATAGAGAAAGAGAGAGAGAGAGAGAGAGAGAGAAGAGAGAGAAGAGAGAGAGAGAGAGAAGAGAGAGAGAGAGAGGAGGAGAGAGAGAGAGAGAGAGAGAGAGAGGAGAAGAGAGAGAGAGAGAGAGAGAGAGAGAGAGAGAGAGAGAGAGAGAGAGAGAGAGAGAGAGAGAGAGAGAGAGAAGAAGAGAGAGAGAAGAGAGAGAGAGAGAGAGAGAGAGAGAGAAGAGAGAGAGAATAGAAGAGAGAGAGAAGAGAAAGAGAGAGAGAGAGAGAGAGAAGAGCAGAGAGAGAGAGAGATCTGAGAGACGAGAGGAGAGAGAGAGAGAGAGCGAGAGAGAGAGAGAGAGAGCGAGAGAGAGAGAGAGAGAGAGTCTGAGGAGAGAGTCCTCATGTCGCTCGCTGAGAGGGGAGATCGCTCTCTCTCCTCTACCCTCTACTCTCTCTCTGAGAGAAGAGCTCTCTTTCCTGCGGAGTCCTCTCTCGAGCCCTTCTCCCTAGAGTAGAGAAAGAGAGAAGGAGCTAGAGAGAGAGGAGAGAGAGAGAGAGAGAGGACTTAGTCCTTCAAATACTCGAAAAGCAAAGTGACTTAGAGGTCCGCACAGCACGCGGGCCAGCAAACAGCCGTCTTGGAGACATCACGGCCCGTGAAGAAGTGGCGCTGAAGCCATCCCACAGTCACCCGAAGCGCGAAGCGCGTTGCGCAGGATAGTGCGCGAAGCGCGCACTTTCCTGCTGCAGCCGCTGGAGGCGGAGAAACGCGTCAGCGCACATCGGCTTAGTTCCTCCCGTGCCCTATTGAGCACCTCCTCGCTGCGCTCTGGAGTGACCGTTGTGGTGTTTCCCTGGCGACTCTCGAGAAGGGCGCCAATGGCCCGATGACGGCCGATCGTGTAACAGTCACTTTAGATGGGTGCGGGGGACTCGTGCTCATCTCCGCTGGAGGCTGCCGGCCTCATAAGCGGTGGTTGTGGCGATGAAACGTGTCATGTAAGCTAAAGTGTGTCTCATCGGCAAGCTACACATAGCTAAATGTCAAAAGAAGCCGTGATCTCCCCAAGTCGAGGGCACAGTTTCAGTCCGACTTGTTTGTGAGCTGAATGTACAGTCTAGAGTGCAGTGAATTTACACCTTGTTGGCGATCAGGTGGAGTTGTTTGACATTTGTTGGGTTGAAGACTTGACGGCCTTCAGATACCCAGATGTGTCTGGCGCCGAACCGAGGATTCAGATTCACTGGAGATGTCACATGAGACCTTTCCAGCCCCTCCCGGAACCGACACAGTGATGAGGTGGCCAGACGAGCTTTTAGGTCCAAGTTACCTTGTGTCGGCTCAACACGGTTCTGTGATCTCAAGCGTCTCCGTTGGTTTTATTATTTTGTATTTGGTGTGACCAGTGTTGGTTGAAAAATGTTGTTTTATTGTTACCGTGGTTATAATGGTAGGTTTTGTCCGATAGTAGAAGTAATTGGGTTTGAAGGGCATGATATGCAGTGGTCAATTGCGCCTTATTTTCGACTGGAGATGAACCGATTTGGTTTCAGATATTGAAATGGTTGGGCTGGAAATGAATCGTTTTGCCCGATGTTTTACGATGCTTGTTTTCCAATTCGTCAAAACTGTACAGCTTGGCTTTGCTTCATGTTCAAACAGAGCGTGATGCAGGATGCGGAACTGTCTGTTCTGCAGAACTGCGGAGCCATGAAAACTGGCATTAATTTCCTGTTGCATGATGTGAACAACGTTGGTCAATTTTCATGCAGACGACATTTATCGAGGAGAGAAATGTGATATATTTTTAAGGGACACGGTGCGTTGTAACTTGTAAGAAGGCTAAGGCATGACAGCGCAATAAATGCCATTGCGCACCCACGATCGCAGATCTGACGTCATAACGCACAGGTTTCTCATGAAGGCAGCATCCGCTCCCCCCCCCCCCCCCCTCCTCCGCCATCTCGTCATCCGCCGTGTCGCTGCTGTCGTGATTACCGCTGCTCATATCCTCTCAGCCGCGGCGCCATCCGAAATAGCTCCGCGCTGCGGTGCTGCCACCTGCCGAGCGGCGGCGGCAGCAGCCGGCCGGCGGCGCGCGGCACTCGTGAGTGGGGTGGCCCGGGGCGGTGGCGCGCCGCCGCCACGCTCGCTCGCAGTCGGCAGCACGGTCGGACGGCGCCCGGTGCCCGGTATGGCGGCGGGCTCACCGCGGCCAGCCAGACGACAGCGTCGCGAAACACGGATGCCGGGAGGGCGGAGGAGGTAGGTGCCGCGCCGGCGGAGGCACCGCCGTTCCGCCGGCCGGACACCTGTTGAGGTGCCGAGCACGGTCGGACTAGGCCGGCCGTGGCAGCGGCCTGGCGCAGTCAGATGGCTGACGTGGTGAGATCAGAGATGTCGCGGGTTTTGGGAGCGTGACGCGGGGGGGGGGGGGCTGGCGGCCTCTGCTGAGGTCGATGGACGACTGAGGTCGATGCTCGGTCTCACCTGGCCGCTCTCGGTAGACCAACTTGCCTTTGTAGCACTGCCTCGAAGCGTGAAGGGATATGCTAATAAGCCCAAATATGAAGAGTTCTGGTCGATACATCCGGCTGTTTGAGGGTGCAGTGAAATGAGATCCTTCAACGCGGCCTTTTCTCAATCACATTTCAGTTAGTGCACCGTGTAGGAGACCAAGAGCCGTGCAACCAAATATGTGCGTGGTTGTGTGATGATGTTTCACCATGAACATCTGTGCAATCCGTCAGCCGTAATGGACTGGTACTGCAAGTCAAAGGCGAATTGGATAAGTAACTGATCTGCTCTACGGCTTATAGTCAATGGTGACGTGATAATATTAATGTCTTTTGCAGATCCAATCATTTCAAACGGGGCACATGCTCAGATTTCTTGTCGTGACTGTAACACAGGTGCAGCTTATACAAAGTTTAGGGCTTTCTCTGGGGACGGCTGCCGAGGAAAAGGCTTGGCATGTAGAGTACTCAAAGCGACAACAGATGGTGCTGACCCTTCGCATCTCCTCACAAGGCTGTCTCTCGTCGGCTCATCTCTGTAGCCTGTATTGTTTGCGTCCGCGTCTGTCCCCGGGCAGGCTGGGCATTCGTCACGCCCCCAATCAAGGCCTGGCAAAGCTGCGCGCACGAATTAGCCTATGTGGAGCAGCCCGTTGTTAGTTTTTCCTACTTGTTTGCTCCAAATAATGGGCGACGTATGGGTGTCTCATTGAAAAACGAAATCCCCTGCTAAAATACAGATAGGTTGCAAGATAAAACGGCTGGCCATTTAACATCATAACAGGTTACGGCCATATAAATATAAATGTATATATATATATATATATATATATATATATATATATATATATACGATAGAAGTCAGTGGTATGCATGCGCTACCAGGCTGCAACTGGCCCAGAGCCCAGGCCAGTGGACACTGAGCCCAGCCTGACAGCGGCTCCTTTATTTGCAGGGTTTGGGGCTCAGCCAGGGTTTGTTAACGAAGGTAAAATGAAACAACCTATAGCCTGTTCGAATATAACCGTGTCAGAATCCAGCTGAGGGTACAAGTGTTCATCTTTGAAATCAGATGTACAAAACCATAGATATCTAGTACCACTAGATCGGAAACGGCTATGCCTGAGTGTGTTCGGCAGACAGGGGCATCGTGCATCGCATTAAACCAAACCCACATGTATGAGCAGCCGGGGCGTGGCTAAGCGATAACATTTACGACGCAAGCAAATGAAACATCGATTTTGGCTGGTGAACGCGTGCATTTCATAACAGACAACCGTCGGGTCGGGTTGCCCGTAACTCGCCCGGTTTACCTCAGTTTGTTCAGTTTGCGTGTGAGTCTACACCATTTTACAGCTGACGCCCCTCTTTCAATGGCACACATCTGCTAGTAATTTAACGTAGATTTTGCGGATCTGGTTGCATTATATGTATATATATATATATATATATATATATATATATATATATGCGTGTGTGTGTGTGTGTGTGTGTGTGTGCATAACATATATGCTATGTTTTATGCATGCATATTGTACATACATATTCTATAATATAAAACATTGATCTAAGTTTTTGCGCAGCTTTTAGCCTACTTTCCTTAGATAACTCAATCGTCTACAGCCCGGGCGGTCCGGATCCTGTAAGTTTGCCACGGAGAGTGAGATAAGTAAAATGAAAATGAATTAGATAAACAAGACAATACTTGAAAGTCGCGAGAAAGAGAAAAAGAGAGAATGTAGGAAAACATGATGCGTCCACAGAATATCTCCTGTAGCATCCCTCACGGAATGGCTGCTTCCTGCTGGACCACAGGCTTCTTTGACAGAGAATGTCCCATATCTCGGGACCAATTTACGCACCATCTTCATAAATCTGTCGAGTCCGTGGTTTATTGACGGGTGCTTGGTCTAGAGCTAATTTCATGCCTCCGTGACAGAGCTAGCGTCTCTTGGTGATCGGAAGTTCTGACGGACAACGAGCGCTACCAGGGCTTGCTGGCCATGGAGCAATGTAAAACCAGCACTGCAGGGGAGGGCTGGCTTTAGTCTGCTCAAAACTTCTAATGCCAGCAATTAAAGTTGCCGAGTTCACAGCATTTTAAGCCGCTGGAACAGTTAAAATAGTATTGGGATGCTGACTATGCGAATAGAACAGCCCCTGCTCGAGCATGGTTTGAGCTCTTGGCTAGAAACACCTCAAGGCCCAGGCCAGGCAAAAGGGTCGGGGTACTTTCTACAAAAGCATGTTATTTCAATACGTTTATGCCTCTGGGATTTGTATTTATGTGTGCGATAAATGGCCCGGCAGTCCGAACGTGTGCGGTCTAAGCGAAGGCAGCCATTGGTTTAGTGTGTTTTGTATTCTCGGGTGCTATTCACCGTCCCAATGGTCCAACGTCACTGGTCGCTGCTGTTTAAAAAAACAGCGGAAGTGCTAGTGGGATGTTTTGCAACTGGTGCCTTTCCGTTACTTCCTAAGCTTGTTTTGTGGCAGTGTTGAGAACAGCTGCCAAACTGCTCGCCCAAGCTCCATGTAGGTATTTATTTGAGCTTAACAGAACACTGACTCTCACTCGCTATCAGTGCTTCCTGGACTCAGACTCGAGCAAATCGATTCGTTCCACAGATGGACCGCACAAGGACACAGGCTTGGGCTCTGGTCCTGTTTGTTTTGGTGGAGTCGATCCAGTGTGCGTGAATTTGCTAGACTTTGTAAAAACTCAATCGGTCCCTAAAGCTCAGAACGCTCATTAAAATCATCCCTGATCTCGACAATGACGTCAACGCTGACTCAGGGGGTCGTGCCATAAGGCTGTGGCTAGGTTCAGGTCAGGACTGGTTGTTTCCTCTGCAAGTGGCATTATGTAATAGTTTTATCCGTGAAGATCTCTGCTTTTTACAAAGCGCGATGCTGCCTTGCTTTATGTGATCCTGTAAACCACTGACAGATTCCACTTAAAACTTCAGGACTCAGACACAGGCTCGGGTTCTGGGTCAATCATATAGGTCACGGACTAAGACTGGGACTCCGTTGAGAAGCATTAAGCCCAGACTTATGCAATTAAGAGTGGAGCATGGACTTAGACTCAGAGTTAAAGCACTAGGACTCAGATTTTAGTCTCAGACCCATGCCTGATCTGATACAACTATCAGGAGCTTTTATCACATTTTTCCTCAAGGGGAAGTGGCAACGCCAGAATTTCTGCGACCTCCCACGAACTTGGATCGAACTACCCGTGGTTGTGGTTCGGTTCGGTCTTTGAGGGTCGTGTGGTCTTCGGTGCTGTCCAAACACCGTGTTCCGGTTCTCTTTCTCTGCACTGTCATACCCTGCAGTTTTCAGATATATTTCATGACATGCCACTGGGTGGTCGCTGTCATTGACTTTACGACGCACTCAGTTGCTGAGGTAATATGGCGTCGCCTGCCTTTCACCGTGGCAGCCAGGTGTGGGTGTGGGGGGGGGGGGCACCATGGAGGAATGGAATGACGTTACTCTGGGTTTCCAAACGCGCAGCTCGTATACTACCCGTACCTATGCCTCTGACTTAATTGCATGCCTTTTACATAGGGCATGCCGAATTAAACGTGCTGCGATAAGCTCCTAGCCTGTGTAGTGAGTTCTAATGTGGTCTTTTTCTCTTTTTCATTCTAGCAGCCCGAGTATTTTTCTCTTCTGTAGTATTATCCTCTGATGTTAAAATGACATCTGATGGCTACCATAGGCCAATGACAGAAGATGGTCTCTGGCCCTGACTAACTGTCGGTAACGCATGCTTTATACATGCAGCTCATTACCTGTATCCACAATTTAGACCGAACAGTGCTACTGCCTGCTCTGTGCTATTCCTACATCAGGCTTGATGGCCCTGCCTTCAGGAATGACATGTCGTGTTTGTTCTTCGCGCAGAAAAGCAAGTATGAAACGCCGCTAAATAGTATGTATTAGTTGCGCCATGTGTCTAGAGCAACGGTGCACGGCCAGTGCGTCCGAGTGATCTGGGAAAGGGGGAGCACAGTGACCTGAGTGTCTGAGTAATCTGGGAAGGGGGAGCACAGTGACCTGAGTGTCTGAGTAATCTGGGAAGGGGGAGCACAGTGACCTGAGTGTCTGAGTAATCTGGGAAGGGGGGAGCACAGTGACCTGAGTGTCTGAGTAATCTGGGAAGGGGGGGGGGGCATGGCGGCCAGGGGTCCAAGCAGTGCGGCCAGCCAGGGGTCAGCCATGCCAGCGTGTCTGAGCGGTCCGGGAAGGGGGCCACGGTGACCAGGGGTCAGCCATGCCAGCGTGTCTGAGCGGTCCGGGAGGGGGGGGGGGACCACGGTGACCAGGGGTCGCAGTCATGCGGTTTACACTGAATGCTAGACTTTTGCAGGAATTCGGTCCAAGTTCGCGGATGTTGGTAGAAATTTTGGCGTTGTCACTCCCCTTGGGGAAAATCCCGGCTACGTGCCGGCGTTAGCAGAGATCAATTTCATACTATTAAGGCACAAGTCAATTGTTGCCTGCAGCTTACACTGAATGCCGATCGATTTCGTACAGATTCGATCCAATTTCACGGGAGGTGTGATCAATTTTGATATTGCCACTCCCTTTGAGAACAATTATGGCTACGTGCCAGCATTCACTGAGATCGACGTTGCATTGTAGAGACAGGAGATGACATGGCGTTGTTGACGGTGGAGCTACCCACAGTGACAGCACTGCCCCTCCAAACAGCGAAGCAAGCGTAAGCGTATCCTCACG